GGGCCCTAAGTTGCTGCCTCAGGCTCGTGGCAGCTGCTTTTACATGACTTTGAAGCGAGTTCAAGTTGTTTGCTATGAGTGTGTTGCAATTTCCCGAGGGTGTCGCCTGTAGAGGTCTCTGCTGTATCAGCCGAGGGTGGCGTATTTAAGAGGCCCTTAGGCAGGCGTGCTTATTTTGACGCGCATGGGTTTGTGAGTAAGCTCAGGTTAACTCTGGAGGCCGCCATGCTTTGGCGGAACGCCTGTTAGTCAGCGGGATTGTCTTGGCCGTCGGGAAAGACATGGGACAATGACGCAGCTGTTGTCGGTAGCCAGAAAAGGATCACTGAAGCAACTGCAAGGTCAAGCCTCGGGGGCACGGGGACGCCAGTGAAAGGAAGCATCGGAACAGTGACGATGCGTGACTTTGGGCAACGAGCCTTGGAGAACGAAGGGAAACAGACATTGTGGCCGTCCGCCACACTGTAGAACGACAATCTGCCAACTACGTGAAACACTGGCACCAACTTAAACAGCTGAAAAGCTTAATAGGGCGGAGTACGGCAAAAGGGGCACTCAGAGAGTCAGAAAATGTTTGCGGTGAGCCAGATTCAAACCGCCGGTCGCCGTGGTAGCGACGTTCAAATAGCAAGTTAAAGAAAAATTTGCACCTAGCAACTCGTCCACCATTTGACCGACGTAATTGGGATGGTCCACTCCGGTTTAGTCTACCTTAAACGCTCTGATTGGCAAAGGCAAATACTCAAATGAGACCGGCTATGAACCGGGGATAAAGTCAAATACATAGCGAACATCTGATGCTGATCCTCCCGTTCGTGTTATCAGATCAGAAAAGGCTGCATTACATTTGCCATTTTTAAATTACCTATCGGCTATTTTGACGTTAAAATTGCCTTGGTCCGCTTTCTTCTTCTTCAACAGAGCATGGAGCCCCAAACCATCATTTTTAATCGAATGCGGCCACGAATCAATACAACAAGATTGAAAACCTTCCCAAGAAGAAACTTCTGCATATTTCCCCGAAATATGCCGTGAATGGCTGGAGAGGCTAGATGGGAACTGGCACTATAACGTGGGAATCTGAAGTTACTCAAGGGTCAACGTCCGTTAGCATCTGTCAAATGAGTCAGAACGCGTGAAATATCTGGATGTAAAACACTTAAGTGGGGCTACGGAAACGGTTAGTACAGTAAATTTGCTTCATTATGGCGGCTTTCGAGCGAGCTTTTCCCGGCCAATTTTCAAACCTCCATCTTCTAACACCTGATTACTTGATTAGTGTGCATTTCTTTCAAATTGAGGTTTGATGCCCTTACACATTTAAGTATTTCGATTGACCCAATTGTGAGAAATGTGCGGCCCCGGTGGGAGTCGAACTTACGCCGGCAAGGACATGGATTTGCGCAGCCAACGCTCTATCAACTGAGCTACGAGGCTCACCGAGCTTGCCCAGCTCGTAGATCAATGGTAGAGTGTTGGTAGCGCAAATCCTTCCCTGCTGTGTGGGTTCGAGATTTTCACAATTGGGTCAATCAAATTATTGAAGTCTGCCAAACCCCTAACATTTAAATATATTTCTATATAAAACATACACAATAGCACATTCCTTTTCGTACTCATTTGGCGGCAACTTACATCTTGCATACTTGAAGAAGAGGTTTTCTCAGCTTGAAGCGTTTTTAAATATATGAAATTGTTTAAGACCGTGAAATGCTCCTTCTTAGAGCGTCGTATCTCTCCATTTCTTAATGCCTCATAAACTCTGCGAATATTCCCATACTCAATTTGAGAAGTCAAGTTTGCAAACATATGTTTTCAGCAAATCTTCATCAGGCCAAAACATTTGCAGGGGTAAGTAAAACTGCACAGTTGGAATGAATTGTAATCAGACTACTCTTATTAACCCTGTCCAACTGTACAGTTTTCATTACCCCTGAAAATGTGTTGGCCTCTTATAAAGTATACATGGTCCACATCCCTTGCAAACTTGAATGAGTGCCATATCACACCTGTCTAATAACGTGGATGAGTGCTTGATTTGCTTCATACCTTGAATAAGTGTGTAACGGCAGGTCGGTACTCTTCCTTGCATATAATAGCGGTCACTATGCGACGGTTTGAGTGAACTAAACGCAACGAGACGAGTATATTTTCTCAAACTATTTTCAAGCAAATTACTCCTCTTTCTCTGCTATCTGCAGATTATCTTGGATTTAAGAATGCTAACGAATTCCCAAGTATTAGCAGGTTTGGCAGGTTTGCTTAATTGAATCAATTGAACCAATTGTGAAAAAACTCAAGGCGTGTGGCGGGATTTGAACCCGCGTATTAGAGAAGGCCTTTACCGGAAGCCAATGCTCTAACCACATTTGGGTCAACTCAAATTAAGCAAGTCTGCCAAACCTCCTAATAATTAAGTCAGCTTACTAGTCATTCTGTTGAATTCTAGATGAATGCTTAGGAAATCCTGCTTGAACAATCAGCTTGCTGTTCCGTATTGGTGGGTTCCATACGAGCAGTAAAGTTGGGCGGGTAATATCAACCTAAGTGTGATTAAATTCATTGCGCGAGGTGGGGCGTTTGTAGCTCAAGTGGCTAGAGCGTTGGCTTCTGGTAAATACCTTCTCTAATACGCGGGTTCAAATCCCGCCAAACGCCTCGAGTTTTTTCACAATTGGGTCAACTCAAATTCCCAAGTATTTTGAAATGCGACCGACGTCTTCCCTTGATAGTACCTATTATAAAATACATTCTACTTGATTTTTAAAATTACAATTCCAATAACTTAACACATCTCTGTTGCCAAAACTGTGACAATTGATCAAGCAATTTATTGCGTGGGCAGTGCTGTATAAGCCCCTGTAATCATACAGTTTCAGTCATAAAAATCAAAAACATTTTAACAATCGAAATACCACCTCTCATTGAATGCTACTTTTGGAAAAGATTTAGTTTCTTGTAATG